TCTGGAATTTTCAAAAATGGTTGTAAAATTAATAAAATTTTGTATACTTTTAACATAATTATTAACTAAATTTTATTAATTCTCCCATTTTTGATTTGATTGCTAATAACTCTGATCAGCACTTTTAGTGAATGCTACAAATTTAAAATAGAGTTTGTATACTTTTAACGTAGTTATTAACTAAATTTTATTAAAATTTATTAGAAGACACTCCGACAGTTCCCTTGTCAGTCTGTACAACTCGTCTTACTTTCCTGAAAATTGCCAATGTCATCCTAATCAAAAAGCCAACCACTCCAAACAGTATAGACCAATTAGCCTTCTTCCAGTAATAGGCAAAGCTTTTGAAAAAATGATTTTGGGCCAGCTTGAGTGGTATACTGATACATACCACTGGCTTGACCCAAACCAATATGGCTTCAGAAAAAGCAGAAGTGCTGAAAATGCCATCTATGCCTTGACAGATATTATAGAAGAAGGCCTGAATAACAAAGTTTATACTGCAGCTATATTTTGGATATTAAAGGAGATTTTGGCAACTGTTAGCACCCAAGAACCTAGCTTGACAAGAACCTATCTTGTCAAGCTAGTCTCCTCTTTTTTAACTAATGGGAAAATAAATCTATCTTACCATGAACCCTCTGTTAAAAAACTCGTAACTAAATCTTGCCCTCAAGGTGGTGTCCTATCTCTTTTCTTATGAAACCTTGTGGTAAACTCCTGAAAACCAATCGTGACAAGGCAATAAGTATACAAACTTATGCTGACAACCTTGTCATTGTGTTTCAGCATAAGGACATTGCTTTTTTGGAAAGTAAGCTAAACAAAATGTTGAGTATAGCTTCCAAATGGGGCTATCTTAAACTTATAAGACCAAAGCCATGCTTTTCATCAACAAATTCAAATTTTCATACCCTAAGGTTTATTAAATGGTGACTCAATTGAATGGGAAGATCAGCAAAAGTACCTGGGAGTAATCCTTGATACTAAACTCACATTCCGTTACCATATTGATTACATCTTGGCTAAGGCCAAGAAAATAAACTACATGCTGCTAAAATGTGCTAGGTGCACCTGGGGACTAAATCATAAAGCTTGTAAAACTCTATATAATGGGACAATACAACCAATGCTATTTTACATGGCCTCTAGCTGGGGTCATGTAACTAGTAAAAATTCAGTAGCAAGTAAATTGCTCTCTCTTCAAAGACAGTTTGCCATCAGAATTTCAAAGTGCTGCAGAAATGTTTCTACTAATGCCTCTCTGATACTAGCAGAGCTTCTTCCTTTGCCACTATGTATTGTAGAAAAGGTTCTAAACTACTACATCAGAACTACAAACATCAAGGCTCAACAATGGTCTCTACTCCTATCTATGGCTGTTCACATGCTACCATACTACAATTACCCTACTATCTCTGATAATCACCCTGCAAACAAGGTTATCACCAGGGTACATTTGGTGTCATCTGCTTCCTAAATGGGTAACCATGCAGACATTAATATCTACACAGATGGGTCTAAAAGTGCCCTTCATGTTGGCTTAAGTATCTGTATCTTCCTGCAAGCTGACATATTTTGCCCAAAATATGTTAAAAGGTACAGATACCCCCACATACCGCCATCTATCAAGCTGGAAAAGATGCTGTCTACCAAGCTGTTCAGTGGGCCACTTCACTACCAAACAAAACTCTGTCTATCATCATTTACAGTGATTTTCAGTCTGTCCTAAAAGCTCAATTAAATCCTAAATGCAATATAAATAAAATCACATATATCCAGCACCATATTAAAAATCTTGTAAATAATATAACTTTTAAATTAACACTCAAAAAGCTTAACAGTCCAGTACTAAATATTTAATAGAAAACAAACATTTTTGACCGTACTTTCGGTCTTCTTCAGGTTTAAAAAACTAGTGAGATTTGAACAAGTGAATTCGAAGAACAAAAATTACGAAATTATTTTCAAAAAACCTGGAACAGCACAAGCAGGTTTTTAAAACAATGGAACATTCTAAGCTTGCATGTAAACAGTTATGCATGCGTGTTACCATGGTGATGGAATGTTATATGTAGTGCAAACATTGATATAACTACATACATATACTAACAAAAGGAGGGTGGAGGTGTGGTTTCTAACTGCTGGTGCGGGGATTGACAGTTCTTTCATAGCAGTACTTCCACACAGAGCCATAACTAGCCATTCCTGTGCCCTGTGCAAGAATTTGCATTTAGGCCCCTTAATTTATCTGGTTTTGGGAAAATAATAAAACAAATACATTACGATTGATTTTTAATAAGATTTATTTTAATTGAATTTTTCTGGCTTTCATTTTAGCAAATTCATTAATTACACCATCACAGAGCCGTAACTAGGATTTTGGACGCCTATGGCCAAGAATAAAAATGGCGCCTTTTTAATTTTTATTATTAAAAAAATGCTATTATAAAAAATTTTCTAGTGACGTTTAAATATAATACAGGGTGTATCAGAACGACGTTTTAAAAATTTGGGGGATTGTAGAGCATGAAATTTTGAACGTTTTGATATGAGAAACCTATAGCCGGAAAAGTGATAGAACGTTTCTACAGCACTTTGCACGTTCTATGCGGTCGGTATGTTGCACTGGCATTCCCTCGAACTTCACCATAACACAAATGCATATTAGCAAGTTCTCCAAATGTATAGTTACCCTCTGAGAAGCCAGTACGTAAAGCACGATAAGCGGACAACTGTACACTAACTCACGTTGACTAGCTGTGTGTTTACAGCACAGAGCCAATGGATGCAAGAGGTGGCCTGAAGAACGACAGGCACTAAGTACACAACGTCGTGTACACAGGCTGAGTTAGACTACTGTAGTTGTGTGTTTACAGTCTTCCATCCGCAGCAAAAACATGACGTCAATGGACGGAAGGGTAGCTACCAAAGTGAAGGGCGGTCAAGCACTTCCTATCGCTGTAGACACTTTAGTTCAAATTTCCAGCTATAGGTTCCTTATATCAAAACGTTCAAAATTTTATCCTCTACAATCCCCCGAATTTTTAAAACGTCATTCTGATACATCCTGTATAAATATAAATATAAAAATGTTTTTGTGTTATTAATTTGGAATACATATTATTTCGAAACCTTCTCGTAGGCGCCTTTATTAAATCGACGCCTATGGCGGGGCCACATTGGCCATACCCTAGTTACGGCTCTGCACCATCATAATTAATATTTTTAACGATATTGTATTCTACTGAAATAATAGAAATATTGGATAATCGTTCTTGTCCGATAATTGATCTTAAATAATTTATATTAAGTTTAACTTGCTAAAACTTCTCTCGCACGAAGCAATAGAAACGGGAAGAGTTAGAAATATTCGAAGAGCGACATTGATATTTGGGTAAGACTCAATTAAACCAAAATCATGAAGAGCCTGTAGAATATTAAGCGGAGATGCAGTTTCTATATTTTGTATAAGAGTCGTTACTTCAAAATTAAAACTTTCAATTTCACTTGTGAATTCGTACTTTTTTAAATCTTTGCTATATTTAATAGCGAGATCTGCAGCCGATTTTTTTAAATCAGCAACAATCGTGTATTGTAAAGACGAGCCACAGAGAAAGCAAAAATCGTCACAGATAGTTTTCATTTTTTCATAACGCCAATCTATTTGACACAATAGAGTGTCAAGAACACTGTAAATTTGTATTTTAAATAATTTTTCGGGTGTCAAGTTACTTCCTTCATCTGGTGTTTTATCTATTTCCATTATCTTAACTCTTGTTTCGTTTATTAAGAAATCCCTTTTCTATACTTTTTGGTTTGTTTTAAGAATGTGATCAATAATAGCATCTGTTAATATTGTTGGCCATAAAGCTAAATCATTTATTACTTCCATGTATCTTTATATATCGAAGCGTTTTTCTGGACTATTTCTATCTTCTGCGTTTTCGCAATCCCTTTTTTCAGTAGCATTTTAATGACTGCGAGAGCTCCTTCGGGGCACTACGCGCCCGCATAGTTCGCTTACCGCTTAATCCGCCGTTCAGGTATACACCACATATGAATACCACTATAAAGCAAAAAATGATGTCAGGATTTCTGCACCCTTTTACAACCTCGAGACTAAGATTTTATTCGGACGTTACCGTTTTCAATTTAGTAATTTAAAAAAAATCCTCGGGCAGACTTATTTTTGTTACNAGGTGCAACATATTTCTATGCTATAAAAAATTTATTTAGTTATTTCGAATGTTATCCCACAAATTGATCATAAATAAATATTTAAAATTTAAGTGTTTCTCACAACATGTAACAAGTACTAACAAACATAGTTCATAAGATTGCCAACTGATAAATGTCATTAAACTTCTTAGTCTATTTCTCATGGGTAAACTTTTTGATTGATTACCCAGTATGTAGTAAAAAAATATTTAACACTGTTCTAATTTTCAAATTTAAACATTTTAAAAATACACACATTCTTATAGAATGACATTCAAAAATTCTTGTATAATTAAAGTTTTATTTCTCAAAAATTATCCACAAGTATATGTTATATTTTTTAATATTGAATTAGACTTTAAAAGCTATAAATAGTTCTACCCAGATGTGCATTGATACTAATAACATTAAATCATATATAATTATTAATAAATAATTACTGTAAAATGAAGAACTTTAGATTAAAATATGTTATTACTTTAAGAATGATTAAATTAAACTCTTCTTTTTTATTAAACTTTTATTTCCACTAATAATATTTCATTTAGTTTTTTTTTAATTATGATTGTTATTTCATTTCTTTTGTTTATTCTTTTTTATGATACTAGTGATTTTTGTAACATTTTGTTTTGGTAGCATTTTACTATATTCTATTATATATTTTATTACATTTCATATTATATTAGCTACATTTTGAATCTATTTTTTTAAAATAATATAAATTATGTATTTATTTATTATTTCATACTATAATAAATATACTAAATACAATTACATACCCTTATATCAGGATTTCCAGAAGAATAATTGAATGATGGAAAAATATTTTCAAAACTTGGCAGTAGAAAAAAATTTGTTCCAACATTGATACCAGGAACAGGAAGATATATTATTTCTGCTGTATAACTCTACATAAAATAATTTAATACAATTAAAATTTCATTTATCATATACAGGGAAGTGTAAAAGTAAGTATACAGTTGAGAATCTGAGAAATACAAATGTTTGGTGTTCATTATTATTTTTATTATCTTTTATTAGTTTTGTGGAGTGTTGTGTTTTGAATAAACAAAGAAATACAGACAACACTAAGAACAAAGATAATCATATATTAAAACTAGGAATACAGCCAGAACGGGGTCGTAGGGGAAATATACATACAATAAGACTAGTTGTCTTCAGTCCAAGTTCTCACTTTTCTCTTTCCTTTTCACTCAGTCCATCATTTTCTCCCTCCTACCTTCTTTTACATTCCTTATATACAAATCCTCCTAGCGTCCCCTCGTGTTACATTCCAAAATACAAATTAGAAAAATAAAATACAGACAAATATTATAACACGCGAATATTTACATTGACATAATGTTACTAATAATAAACATAAATAATATTTTAGTATGAAAGAAACATCACATTTAAGCCTTTGCAAAGGGAGGGAGGGAAAAATGGTGGGCACCACCACAGTTTGTATTCCTTATTTGTGATTTAATTTGTACATAAAAATAAATGTTTTTTCTTCCTATTTCCTCCCTATATTTTTTTTTCCCTAATTTTAATTATATGAAAATATTGTGCAATTATTTTCATATAATTAAAATTAATATTTATTT